GTCAGCAGGTCATTGCCTCAGGGTTGGGGTCAGCACCATAGGTGCTTCATAGGTGAAGGGGCAGTAGGACCTCACATGGGACTCCAGGCTGCTCAGGAGTGACCAGGATGGCAAGCCAAGCCCCCTGACTCCTTCCCCTTAGTCTGCAGGGCCTTTGGGTGTTGAGGGACAGCTCTGGCCTCTGAATAGGTAACACCTTCCTCCGGGGTGGCCTGGCCAGTGCAGGGCTCTCTCATTTGGCTTTCCCAGGCAGCTGGCCCGCCTTTCCTGCCTCTTCCCCAATGCCAACTTGGGGACTAATCTAGAAAGGCCCAGCTCCTAGGAATCTCTGAGATCTCCCCAACAGGACAGCCAGTCACCCAGGCCCGGCCTCCACACCCGTGCTTCCTCCTCAGCATGGGCACCTTCTCAAACACCTAAAACAGGCAGGTAAAGACCCCATAGGACAAAAGAACAGAAAGAGAAAACACCATGTTTCGTGCCCACCCACGAGGGCACTGTCACCACATCCCCAGGAATCTGGTGAGGTGAGCGGGACACTCTAGAGCTCAAGAAGGGCAGGCTGATGGGTCAGTGAGGCCCTGCACCCCAACATGGCTCTTTGCTCTACAGAAAGATCTCATTTTGTGCTAGAGATGATAGGAAGGGTCTCGAGCTGTTTGGAAAGTCCCAGCAGCCCCCCCAGCTAGTCAGGGTGTGGATGCCTGGCCACTGCTTCCCTGGTTTAGGGGACCAGAGGACTGGCCAGAGGAGGATGGAGCTAAGGTGACCACATGTTGATTGTGATGATGGCCCCACCTCGTAAGGGAGCTCCTAGAAGATGGGAGGCCAGGCCTAGGCTGGCTCTGTGTTGGGAACTGACGTGTCACGTCCCAATGACAGCTCAAGGGCGCTCACCTGGAGGAAGGTGGGTGTGTGGTGCAGGAGTGTGTGGGTTGTGGCTGGTTTGTGTGATGTGTGTGATGTGTGTGTAGTGTGTATGTTTGGGGGGAGTGAGTGGTGTGTGTGCATCACTGTCCAGGCACCAACTTCTGTCTGTCAGGAGCTAGGCCAGGAAGACCCCGAGGCCGAGGATAGCAGGCGCTGTGACTGGAGGTACAGAGGCTGTCAGAGCTGCTGGTTATTAACCCAAGTTCTCCGGGACGGCTGCTCTTTTGTGATGAAAACAGAGCTGCCCAGAAGCACAAGTGTTAGGGGGCGGGGGCCATGAACTCCAGGAAGAAGCAAAGGTGGTTACGGCCACTCTGAAGAACAGTGCAGTTAGTCCTCTAAAGTTAAGCTCAGCAATTGCACTCCTAGGCATCCGCAGAGAGAAACAAAAGCACACGTCCTCACTCAGTTGCACGGTTTGTCACAGTGGCATCCACACTAGAGAGAAGTGGAAACAACCCAAGTGCCCACAGACAGACGGCAGCAGAGACAAAATGTGGCCACCTCGACTGTGAGACGGAATGGAGTGCTGACTCCCCCGGTGTGGCCCGTAGCTAAGTGAAGTGCCAGACACAAAAGGCCACACGTTGTGTCCATTTGTATGGAATGTCCAGAACAGGTGAATTTACAGGGACAGAGCACAGGTCAGGGGCCAGGCTGACTGCAAACGTAGTGGAGGGAAAGCCTGGAGGCCATGGAAGGGCTCTGTGATGGGCAGCTCTACGTGCTAACGTGGCCAGGCTCTTCAACTGAACACGGGTTGAGGGCTGCTGTGAACGCAGTGTGTGGGATTCACATCCATGACCAGCTGACTTTAAGTAAAGATCATCTCTGTAATGTAGCTTCAGCCAAGCAGTAGAAGTCCTTGAGAGCAAAGCCCCAGAAGAGAAGAAATTTTGCCTAGAAGTTGCATTGAGCCTTCCTGCTGACAGCCAGCTGCACAATGGCACGAGCCAGCTCCTTACAGGTCTTTTGTTATTTGGATGTTTGTCCTGTTGGTTTTCTTAGGAGAATGATAGATAGTTGTAGATCAAGATGGTGATGATGGCTGTGCAGTTCTGCACACGACTGAGCTTTACACAGGTGGATTTCAGCAGCCACCTGCGAAGGTGCAGATCATGTTTGGGTCTGGAAATGCAAACGTGCACCTCAACCCCGCACCCTATACCCTGCTGAACACCTAGTCCTAGGCCTGCCCTGCCTCACACCTCACGGACCTTAGGCAGGCTCAGAGTCTTGGGGACAAGACTGGGTCCAAGGGCCTGGAAGGCCCCCACCAGGACCTAGCCTGTCCTCTGATCAGGGAGGTGACCAGGGCAGGCTGGGCCACAGGCCGGGCAAGGCGCCTTTGGGGCTTATGCCAGGCTCCCCAGCCAAAAAGGCCTCTGTAAATCATCTTCCTGGCACTGGCAACGCCTGCTGCTGCTGTGAGCTGGGCTGTGGCCGCCACGGGGACTGGGTGCCAGGAGAGAGGGGAAGTGGGTCCAGGGCGGCTGGCGAGCTGTACTGAAACATGCAGTCTGTGTGTGTGCACGCGTGTGCCTGTGGGAGGTGTGAGGAATGTGTCTATGGGTGCTGAGTGTGTGACGTGCCTGTGGTATGTGTTGGGCAGGGGACTGAGAGCTGCTGTCACGGAGCTGTCTGTCATCGTCATGGGCCCTCAGGTGGCAGACATGCTGTGGGTTGCTCATTGGGAGGGGAAGGCATAGGCCAGGTCATGGTGACTTGATGACAGGGATGGGGCCTCGTAGGCTGCAGGGTCACATGGCACCACTCATCTCACCCACACCCACGCGGGCGACCAGCACTGCAGGGAACGTCCCCTTCCCAATGTGGCTCCGGGGGGAGAAGGGCCATGTGGCTGTGCTGCTGGCTGTGTCCCTCCTCTGCCTCGCAGCAGGTCATCTTTAGCCACCAAGGCTGACGGCGTCATGGGCCCATCTCTGTTCTTTCCTTGCTTAGGACAGCATTCGTCTCCTGGATTTCCGAGAGGATGAGGCCTAGATTTCATTTCCAGCTCTCTCCCTCCCCGAATCCCTCACCCCTGTCTTATTCCTTCATGCTGAGGGCATGTGTAGGGACCACGCCTCTGTGCACACGTGTAGGCAAGAGCACATGCCTGTGCAGACACCATGCCTGTGCACACACACCTATGCAGGCAAGAGCACACGCCTGTGCAGACACTTTTCCAAGGGGAGATCTGGGCCATTCCTGGCTTCCTAGACAGAGGACATATGTGCTCATAAACCCACGTTTGGTAACCTCCCTGACCTCAGGTATTGGAATGAGAGTGCTGACATCACTCAGGATCACCCAGTCTGAGGCCACTCTGCCCTTCCTCAGAACCACCCTCACAGGAGTGAGAGGACCCTCCGGCACACACGTACACAGCAGTGACAGACACTGGGGGGGAGGGCACTGCTGGGGTGCTGCGGTCCTCTCTGGGGTGTGCAACTGTGGGGTTCTCTCATGGGACCTGCCTCTTCCGTTGTGTTCCATCATGGGGCTCAAAACCCCCTCCTCTGGAGCATCTCAGCTCAAGAGAATGAGAGGGCCTCCCAGAGAAGTGGGGTCCTGGAGTGAGGGCCGCTCCTGCCCAGGACTGAGACCACAGCCCTCAGTGTCAGGCAAGAATGGTACCAGCCGGCTCACATAGTGAGGGAGCAGCTCTGGCCGTCATGTCACTCTTGATTTTGTGTTGGCTTCTTCACAGAGATAAAACTGTAGGAGCCAGGCTTTGTTGAGAAAGAAATAGGATTTCTTAAACCCTGAAGCTCCCCTGGGCATCAGAGAGGCGGCCAGGGCTTAGGGGGACAGCCAGGCCAGCGGGGTAGGGGCAGGCAAGGGCATTGGGAAGCCTCTAGAAGAGGTTTCTCCAGTCCTATCCCCATAATGGAAGTCAGGATCCTCAAGTTAACTGCAGCCAACAATTGCTCTCTCTCTCCCGCCCTCTCTCTTACCCCGTCCCTCTTCCTCTCTCATCTCTCTCAATGCTGGGGATTGAACCCAGGCTCTTGCACGGGCTAAGTGCGTGCTATACCACTGATCTGCACCCACAACCCTTTTTAAAGTTTCTGCTTTGACACAGGGTCTCACTATGTAGCCCAGGCTGGCCTCAAACTCAAGATCCTCCTGCCTCAGCCTCCCAAGTGCTAGGATTATAGCAATGTGTCACCACATCCAGCTCCCTCTTTTTGTCAGTAAGGTAAAACACTCCTAACAAACCACCATCTTAGCCATGGTAAAGTGCACAGTTGTGTGGCCCTAGCCATGGCCACACTGCTACCCAGCCTCCATGGTCTATTCTAAGGGCACTGTCCTTCCCCAGAGGAGACCTGCACCCCACGGGCATCCCGCCTCTTTCTGGGGGCTTGGGGACAGCCACCATGTGCACATTGTCCCTGACACTCAGTGAGGTCCTGCCAGCAGCACAGCGTTGACCCCTCAGAGGCTGGGAGCTCTCTGAGGTCCGTGCATGGGAGGGACACAGAGGGAGACCCTGAGGGGCTGGCAGGAGGGTGGGGGGGGCACCCCCACGAGCTTCCCAGGCCCAGCTGTTGGGTGGGGGAGCAGTCAGTCAGGGAGAGGATGGTTGCAGTGTTGGGGGCAGCAGTTTGTCCAGGGGACAGTGAGTCCAGGGCTTTACGGCTATTAATATGAGCCCCGCGGAGGTTGTGGCTGCCTATGCAAGGCCTGTGGGGCCTGGCAGAGCTGGCTAGCACCTTGGCCTCCAGCTCTGTGTGCCTGAGCTTCAGTCTTGGCTGGGGTCCCCTCCTGCCACCCTCGGCCCTTCCCGCCGGGGTCTCCCCCGCAGCCTCAGGTAGGCCTGCCTTTCAGACCCCCTGCTGTCTTGCCCTCTTTTCCCAAATGAGGAAGCGCCCGTGCAGGGAAAGGGTGCCAGCTACTGGCAAAGGTGTGGCAGACACACACTTTCACCAGGCAGCCAGGCAGGCTCCTCCGCATTCCGTGTGGTTCCCGTGTGAGGGCCTAGGACCCTCTCCCACCCCTCAGACGTCCATCCCCAGAGCTAAGGCAGGACAGATGCAGAGCTCAGGGTTTATTGTCCCAACTACTGAAGACATGAGGAATGGAGCCACAGAGGCCAGGAGGGGTGGGCAGGGAGAGGAAGAGAGTAGAGGAGCCCCACAGGCCACTTGTGAACCAGGAGAAGAGGGTCTTAGCCAGCAGGGGCATCCCACAGGGGGTCAGGAACACAGCCAGAAGCTGGCGTCCGCTGCTGTGGGTGAGGAGGTCTCGGAAGACCGGACTCACCACAGTCTAGGCTGGAGCCTCTTGAACACCCTCAGAGACAGACGCGAGGAGGAGTACCTTGGCATTGTGGGGAAGACGCTGGTGGAGGTGACGTGAACAACAAGGAAGAGAGAGCTGGGAACTTTCCAGACCAGGGCTGAGGAAGAGAGGCAGGGATGGTCAGTTGAGAGTGGAGGACTCTAGGAAGGGGCTGCAGAGTGACCTGGCTTTGGGGCCCTTCCCTGCCTGGACTCCTGCTGCCCCTTACCTAGGCTCATGCAGGCAACTCTAAGATACAGGCCCTAGCAGGGGTTATGGGGGACAGTACTAGGGTCTCAGTGGCCCGCTGGCTGCCAGAGGACAGTGAGCGACCTGAGTCGCGCTGGAAGTGGACTCGGCTGGGGGGGAAGCTGCCGATGCCTCTGGGCCCCGGGCCATTGCTGCCCAGCGAGTGCTGACGGCCACGCAAGTACTCGCGGTAGTTCTTGGTGAGCAATGTGTAGAAGAAGGGATTGACACAGCTGTTGCCATAGGTGAGGCAGGTGGTCAGGTAGTTGATGACACGCACGGTCCGGGGTGTGAGTGGCAGGGCCTCGCAGTACTGGGCGAGAAGCTGCCACAGCCAGAAGGGCAGGAAGCAGGCCCAGAAGAACAGGACGATGCTGAGGATGAGGTAGAGCACTCTGGGATTGGGCAGCCGCTGTGTCTGCTTGAAGGAAGCCTGCTGTGACAGCCAGTAGGCCCGGGCCAGGCGGACGTAGAGCAGCCCGATGACCAAGCCAGGCCCCACGATGCTGGTCCCGAAGAGAAGTGTCAGGTAGGCCCGGTGGGCGCGAGGGCCCCAGGACGGCAGGCAGAGGCTCTTGGGGCCCTTGCGGACCAACCGGATGGCAAGTATCACAGGCAGAGTCAGAAGCAGGGCCAGCAGCCAGGTGCCCAGGACCAGCAGCTTGCGGTAACCCTTGGAGCGCTGCACCGTGGCCAGAGGCCTCAGCACCGCCGCGTAGCGCTCTCTGCTCATGATGGTCAGGGTGAAGATGCCGGCGTGCATGGTCAGGAAGTCCAAGCTGAAGAGGACACGGCAGCCCACATCGCCGAAGTGCCAGTCCTTGGTGACGTAGGTGGCCACGATAAAGGGGATGCTGAGCAGGTACAGCAGGTCAGCCAGGGCCAGGTTGATCACATAGACATACATGGAGGCCGAAGCTCGGAGAAAGCGGCACATGACCACCAGTGTGTATATGTTGCCCACCATGCCTACCATGCCCATGGCCGAGAGCACTGCCCCAATGACGCCTGTGGCCACCAGGTCCTGCAGGGAACTGGGCTCCACTGAGTTGGTCCAGGAGCTGTTGAGGGACACATTGGGGCCACCAGGCAGCTCGGGCACGGTGCTGCCTGTCACAGCCAACAGCAGGAACCCGGTTGTGGATTCTGGGATCAACGCCATGTCTGCCTCAGGCTAGGCTGCCAGCGGGGACCCGTCACTCCTTGAAGATGGGGTGTCTGTGGGTAACAAGCTTGTCCTGTGGGAGAAGACACCATAAAAGCTGCAGGCAGGTCCCCTCCATGCCCACAAGGTCCCTGTGATGGTACAGGTGCCACAGAGCCACTGCCAAGCTGCAGAGAGACGGCCTCACTAACTCACATCCCAGCCCCTTAAGACTTGTAATAAGATCCCGCTCTTTATCTCCTCAGCTACCCAGGAGGATTGTAGAGCCATTTGGACCTGTTCAAGGCCTCTGAGGTCAGCAGAGCTTTTCCAAAAAGCAGAGCTAAGCAGTGCAGCCCCTGTGGGACAGAGATGAACAGAGGATGGAGGTGGGAGTCCCGGGCTCCAGCCCTGCCAAGTAAAGTCCTTTCTCCCATTTTATTTCATTTATATGTGTTTCTTTTTTCAGAAACCACTATACAAATGAGGATCGCCTGTACACTTTTAAAAACGCTTTCTTCAACTGCAAAAGTAATAGCTGCTGACTTAAAAAAGTCCAAATAGAAAAAAGTTGTATAATGGGGGAGGCCTTTGTAATCTCCACTTATCTTACAAGGAAAATGAGCCTGGATCCCTGTCTCATACCACACACAATGGATGGCAGACCTGCATGCAGAAAGTAAGCAGTTCTATCAAGTTTGTGGAAGAAAACAGGAGAATATCTGCACAATCTTTGGTAGGAAAAGGGTGTTTTTTTTTTTTTTTTTGGCAGCACTGAGGTTTGAACTAAGGACCTCATGTTTGCTAGGCAGGTATTCTACCACTTGAACCATGCCCTCAGGACAGGAAAAAATTTCTTAAAAATAAGTGTCATTAAAATTAAGACTTTTTACTAAGACAATTAAAAAACATAAACCATAACCAAAATGAACCATAATCAAGGAACCATAAGTCAATGAAGAAAAGACTAAAACCCATTTGAGAGAGAAAAGAGAAAGACACAAAATGTGAATTAGAACTTGTGGGGAAAGATACCCAGGTGGCCAAGAAGGTCATGGAGAGATATTCAATATGATCTGTCACCAGAGAGATGAGAATCAAAATCACGATGGGACTTCACTGCCCAGCCACCAGGATGGCCACGGCAGTTACTGTTACTGAGTGTTGGGAAGATGTGGAGGGACTGGAACTCTCATCTGCCCAGGCTGGGAATGTGAAACAGTCCAGCCTCTTTGGAAAACAATTTGGTGCTCTTGATATAGTGAAACAGGTGTATATGCTCTCACCATCAGTTCCAGTCTTAGGTGTGTGCCTGAGAGAAATGACTACAATAGTCCACAAGAAAGGTAAGAGCGAGAACAGGTGCTCACAGCAATTGTGCTTCCTACAAGGAGCGGTCCATAAACAGCGGCATGGATAAGCAAATGGTGACATCTCTGTAAAAATGATCCATAGCAACGAAGAAGATGACAGAATTATTGCTGCAGTCAACGGCCTGGGTGCCACTCATATATACTATATAGGTTGAGCAAAAAGGCAGGCAGAGCTCCACAGTGGCTCCTATGGCTGAGTCATGACAGGGGAGGTGCGGGGGCTGCTGTGGGGCACTGGGGAGCCTTGCTCTGAGTGGTGGTCACACGTGAAAGCTCAGAATTGCTCGCTTAAGGAGCCTACAGAATATTAAGTAAAAAAAGAAAAAGAAAAGAAAGCCCTGGCGGGGGATGGCGGCTCGCGTCTATAATCCCAGGTACATGGAAGGCATAGATAAAAGGATCCCAGTCTGAGGTAGGCCTGAGCTAAAAGGCCCACCCTATTTGAAAAATAAAGTGGGGGGAAAAGGGGGACTGGGTGCGTGGTTCAGGTGGTAGACCGCACGCTTAGCAAGAGCAAGGCCCTAAGTTCAAACCCCAATACCTCCAAAAAAAAAAAAAAAAAGACCCCCATATCGCCTGCCTCCTCTAAACCCAGGCACAGAAATGAATCTAGATGTTTTCTTTCATCCCATCGAAAGCTGATAATATAAAGGAAAAATGTGGGCCATCCCTGTCTGTGTGACGCAGAAGGGGACTAGCAGGTGCAGGGCTGGGAGTCATGGCTCCAGGTCTCTCGGTTCTCTCGTTGGTCCGGCGAGGGAAGCAGGGCGCCCTGTCCCTCGGCTCGTCGACCCCGCTGCGCCCCCAGCTCGCCGGCCGTGCTGAGCCCTGCCGGGCTGCGCCATGTCCCAGGGGACCGCTAGGAAGGCGCCAGGCCGGGGTCCCACCCCCCATCCCCCCAGGCCACCAGCGCGGGCGACAAAGTAGCTTTCGGGAGGACGAAACTTTTAGCCAGGAGTGGCGGCCGCCTGCCGGGACCGCAGCCCAGAGTGGAGGCGGCGTGCGGCGTCCCCCGCAACCCGCCTCCCATCCCCGTGCGGCGTCCACCGGCCCCGGTTCCCGCCTCGCGCCCAGCACTGCCAGCCCGGGAGGCCTAAGTCCGCGGGACGGTGCGGGGCCGGCGGGCGCCCCACGCGTTCCCCTGGCACTCGCCGCGCCACGTGCGCTCACCTCGGTTACTGAGCCATCAGCTCCGTCCGCCCGGCCCCAGGTCTCGGCGGCGGTCACTGCGAGGGAAGCGGGCCGCGGGACGGCCCCCGGCGCTGCCCCTACCAGGTGCGGAGGGACCGGAGGGTCCGCGTGGTGGAGGCGCCGGGCCACCAGTGCCGCGGGGGGCCGCGCGCCACGCCCGCTCCTGCGCCGCCGCCACCTGCCCGGCCGCCAGCTGGGAATGCGCCCGCCCTTGCCAGGGCGCGGTATTAATAACCCGGCCGCGCGGGGCAGGGCTGGGGTTCGGGCTGGAGGCGCTGGGGGCGCTGGGGGCGCGAGCGGAGAAAAAGGGCCGGGGTGGGGTCTGGATCTGCGGTCGCCTGGCGGGTTGGGTGGGTTGCACCGCCCTGAGCCCAGAGTCACCAAGTAGCCAAGGCCGACCCACAAGCCTTCGGCTGCCTCTCGGCTTCTTGCCTGCACTCACCCCTGCTCCTCGGTTTCCCAGTGCGGAGCCCGGTATTCTTCGCTGGCAGTCAAGGCCTGGCCGGTCTGCGCGCAGACCCCACAATCTCGAGGATCCCCTCTATCCCCCTCCCTGCCCGCTTCTTTGATAGAAAGAATGTCCAGGAATTGAAAGAGGCAGGGGTAGGGTAGGAGAATAAAGAATCACTGCCCCCCTCCTCCCCAGGAGAGTCGAGGAACTGGGGAGGCTCCAGGCCCAGCCCGGGTTGGATCCAGTTCTTTGCATGGGGTTTTGAGGATTTCAGATCAGATGCCCTAATCTTGTGGGTCTGGGGACTTACGGGTACTGTGGCTGCCTCTGACCTCCCTTGTGCCCTTCCTGTCCCTTCTGATCCCAATAAGGGTCTTCTGAGTTTATGGATTCCCTCTCTCAGGCCAAACCCATGAAGAGGACAAGGTCTCCCAGGTGTGGGAGGACTCCATAGACTCACATTCACCCCCCAGGGACATCTCTGTAACCCTTTCTCCATCCACCCGGGACACCATGTCCACCACCTCATCCAGCCAGCCTGGAGAGCTGACTGGGTTTGGGTGGCCCAGCCTGTTACAGGCTTGTGGTCATATCTCTGTGACTGTCAGGTCTCAGACTTCCCTGGTGACCTGACCCCTTCCTGATCTCTTCCTGTAGCTTTTCTTCCTCCCTAGGTTCTTGTGGGGTGTGTGTGTGTGTGTGTGTGTGTGATGGATTTTCCAAGAAAGGGTCTCAAACTATTTGCCCCAGGTTGACTTTGATCCTCCTGATCTCTGCCTCCTGAGTAGCTCAGATAATAGGCGTGAGCTACCAGTGCCTGCCCCTCCCCAGATTCTTTGCTGTCTCCTCTGGGAATAGACTGTTACCTCTACAGGTGAGCACCACTGTCCCCACTCTGTTGCTGGGATACAGGTGGCACTGGCCAAACAGATTCGAGGTGGGTATTGTGGGGATTATCGTGGGGTAGGGGACATTGCAGGAGAGGGTAGAGGTGTGGCTTTCAACCCTGGACACACCTAGGTTGGCATCACAGATTGAGCATGCCTCCAGGAGGACACAGCCAGTTCTGGAGACTTTAACAGATGTAACAACAAGGTTAAGGGAAGGCCACCACTGCCCATGTTGAAGGGAAGGGGAGGTTATGGGAGCAACAGCTGCAGAAATGGCCACTGGGCCTTGAGTGGACATCCAAAGCCAATGTCCCAGTCCGGCTCCATGAAGATGGAACTGGAGTGTGAATCTGGGGCTCTCTTTTCTCAGGTCCAGCTGGAAGTTGAGGGGCAGGGAGCAGTCCATGCGCTCATCCTCCCAGGACTCAGAGTGTTCTTAAGTGTGGAGGGTGGGCTCAGAGCGTCTTGCACAGAACTCAAGTTCCCTGACCCAAAGGGGATATGAGAGTCCATGTGAGAAGTCCATACATTCTCAGGACTTTTAGTGCATCTGCTCATCCCTCATCTTGACAGCAAGACTGATATATACAATCAAGGGGTTGTTTCTATCTTTCCACCATTGTAAAAAATGCTGCTATTTTGTTTCACAATTTTCTCCTCCTTTTGTGAATGAAATTCCCTATCTCTCTGAAAAACCCTAAATGTCCTTATTGTCCATTCTTCCATCCTTTTCATATTGTAGCTTGTGAATTCATATTCCAACTTGGTTTGTGGAGTGGTGACTCTTTTCATCTTTGTGGTTCTCAGACACTGGAATCTTGGCCCAGGTCTGTGGTTCTGCCACTTGTCTATAAACTGGGTTGGGAATGGACTGAACTCATGAATTGAATACCTGTGTGGGGACCTGAGAAACACTGCTCCTTCATGGGCACTGTCATGACAGATATTGCTGGTTTTGAGCATGACTCTGCAGCTTAATTCTGCCTTTTTCTGTTTTATTTATTCATTCCTCTTTTGTGGTTGGAGCAGAGGAGTTCCAAGCTGGGCCTCCCATCTCAATCAGAAACCCCAAAGTCAATTTCAGCTGTAATAAAAGAAAAATAAAAGACAAAGGAGACGCTCTGGGTCCTTGAGGTCCTTCCTGGTCCTCCCAGTGCTACGCTGGGAGGAGACAGGGACGGGTGAAAGGGAATCGGTCCTGCCATCCTGTATTGTGAGGAGCATTTGCTGTGTGCTGGGGAGCTAGGACCCTCTATAGCTCATCCACCTGCCAATGTTGCATTTTGGGCTGAAGCTGAAGGTGAACTGTGTGGAGCCTGCTGATAGTTCAGGTGGTGTGAGCAGGAGAAATGTCCAGAGGAAGGACCTTGGGGACACACTGACCATTGCCTCTCCTGACGTCACAGGAGCCTGGAGTTGAGTGGCAGCCTTGTTGACCTGCCATTCTTAGCTGAAGTGGCTGATTCCACATTTTCAGGTGGCTCAGCTGTGGAGGCAAACTTGGGGTGCAGAGAGTCCCTTTCACACCTCACCTTGTCTCCACTCATGGCTGATGGCACCATGTGAAGTTCTGGCTGAGTCAGGCTGGCACAATGAGTGAAGCGACACTCATCAAGGCTTGTCCACAGCGGTCAGGTGTCAAGGTCATGGTGGACCAGAACGAATCATCAGAGCTCCCAGTAGGCTGAAGTTGATGATTGCCACTGGAGAAGTGCCAGGAGTCTCCCTTGGGGTTTTCCCTTCCTATGTTCAGCTATGTCCCCCTCTGTGCATGCCTCCCCCCGGTCCCAGGTCTCTTCCCTCATTCAGCCTGTGGCAGGAGTGGCCTTTCTACCTTGGGGCTGCTTGCTTTGTACCTCTATTTCCTTTCTGGTCTATGCCACTCACCCTCCTCCACACAGAGCAATCTGACTTCCTACATCCTCCTCTAAATCCAGGGACTGGGTCCATGGCCCCTCCACTCCTCACTCCTCACTAAGGTGTCCATCTCAACTCTGTGCCCTCAGGCAGGAGGGGCAGAAGGCCTTCCAGTGAGTATCTGTCACACTTTCCCCCCATAGTTCTTGGTACAGAAATGTCTATGTCACAAGCAGAGAAGGAGGCCCTAACCTGCCTGACTGCAGGGATAGTCTCAACAAGCAGCAGCTAATGGGAGTCACTTTCGCTTTCTTCCTCCCGCAGCAGGTGATCCACAGCCTCATCGTGTTCAGCCAACTCACTGACCTGATGAGTGCTGAGGCCACAGAGAGAGGCCTCCGGGAGCCTATGGCCTGCTCAGGGCCAGCTGTTAAGGTCACTGTACACCCAGTCTGACATAAGCCCAAAGGGTCACAGCCCAGGTAAACTGATGGTGAAGAAAGTCATGAGTCAAAGGCCTCTGTCAGTTTCCTGTGCTTTTAGGAGTGGCCAACTCCATCTTCTCTTCATCACGATGTCCTGTGGAGTCACAGGTCACACCACAACATTCTTTTCTCCACTTGTACCACAAGGGATGGACAGACTTCCATCCAGCATGGATACCTGTGGTCAGGTGGTCAGGTGGAGGGGTGCTGGGCTGTTGTGAGAATGGACAGCAGGGGTGAAGCAGGTAGGGTAGGAGGGACAAGGAGGGAGAGAGCTCAAGGACTGAAGATGGGAGGAGGGCACTGGGAACCCTCCTCAACTGCACAGGTGACCTTGGTCTGGACCCATTAGAGAACCTGGACACCCACAAGGAGAGGCCCAGTGCTCAGATGAGGGCCTGGATGCCCAAAGGTTACTGGGAAATGCTGCCTTAGCCTGCAGCCCTCAACCCCTCCCCCAAACCTACTGTGCTCTGTGCAAAAGAGTCCCTATCCACCTGTGATTCATTTCATGTACCATTAAATCATAAGTTGTAATCATTAAGTCCCCATTTTCCCCAAATGTGAATTTTAAAGCTTTGCTCTGCACATAATGGGCTCATTATGTTTGGAAATGGTAATTTTTCTGAAAGAACTCGTTTCCAATTGCATTGCTACATTCTGTAGAAAATGAAGCTCTGCTGGCAGGAGCTGGCTCCAGTCTTTCCAGGTGCCTATCTAGCCTCAACATTGGTGCTTTTCAGGCTTGTCAAAAAGGACACTTTGTTCAGGACCTGTCCCTCCAGGTTCTCAGAGACCAGGGGTCCATTCAGCTGCTTCAGGCAAACCCTGGTCAGCAGAGAGCAGTGATTTGTTATGGAAAACATTGGGAGAGAGGAAGGAAGGGGGCAAGACTGTACTGCACCCCTAGTGGAGTCCAGCAGCCCCCTCTGTAGTGCAATGATGACCAGGCCCCGGAAGCTTAATGGTGTCAGCTGCCTAGAAGTCTCCCAGGGGTTTGTGGATGCACCAACTGTCCACAGCCAGGGACTCCTGCATCCACCCCTGCCAGTCTATCAGTCATTCTACTCTTCCAGCAGGTGCTCCCCTCGTTACTGCTACAAATATTTCCCCTTACTTCCCATTCCAGGCACTGCCATTTTCCCAGTTCTGGTCTCAGTGTCCCCAGGTCTGAGACACAGCTGGAGAGATAATGACATCAATCAACCCAATTAAAACCTGCACAGGTCTGCAGCTGGGGAGGGGGCAATTAATTAGTGAACAGCTTCAGACATCTGAATGATCCCAAGTGGCTGAAACACTGAAGCTGACAGGGCAGAATGAACTCAGAGAATGTCCCTGATTTAAAATGCCTGAAAGGCAGGAGAGAGAAAAATATCTAGTTCCCAATCTTCTCTCAGAACCGATCTCTGGGACCTTCTGCCACTGAAAGAGGTGCAGGAGATCCCAACACTGCAGCTCCCCCTGGTCCTGTGAGGCCACTGGAA